TCTGTGAGCAGCACTTTTGCTGGGAGCTGTGAGTCAAGCACACAAAGGCATGTCAGCCCTGTCAGCCCTCTCGGCACCTGAATGCTGGTCAGACTTCATTACCAGTGCCCTGCGTGGCCTCTCCAGCTCCTGAGGCCCCCACTTCACTCTCCCTGAAAGCAGCTCCTAGTTAGCCCACTGTGACAGGCTCTCTAGACTCTTGTCCCTTAACCTGGATTCTGCAGGTCACTTTGTCCTCTGGTTGCTTCCTGTGAGTTCCCGTCTTTCCGGTTAGACGGGAACAGCAACCAACCACACCTGGGAGGCGCTGGGAGCAGTGGTCTCAACCCTGGCTACACAGGAGACTCGCATGGAAAATTCACACAGACACGGAGACCCAGGCCACGCCCCAGATCAAGCAGCTCAGAAGCTCTGGGGGCAAGATCCCCCAGACTGAGGAGCTGGGAGGGCCAGGTCAGCTCTCCAGGAGGCATCCCAGGAGACGGGGAGGGGGGCGGAGGAGCCCCCACTTGTGGAGTCGCTAGGTCAGAGGCCAGCCTCCAAGGTCCCAGTGCCCTATTCCTGGGTACTCTGTCTGCATTTGTCAGGACTGTCTTAGCCGCTGAGGGCACCCTTCGCTAGGATGGCCAACCATCCTCATTGACTCCAGCCTGAAGAGGAGTCAGAACTTCCAGCTTGTTTTAATTGCACGTGCGCGCGCGAGACAGAGCACGACTGTGCCAGCAGCGGAGGGGCAGAGAGAGAGGGAGAAAGAGAGAATCCCGAGCAGTCTCGCACTGCCAGCGCGAAGCCCAACACAAGGGTTTGATCCCACGAGCTGTGAGATCGTGACCTGAGCCGAAATCAAGAGTTGGAAGCTCTACTGACTGAGCCACCCAGGGGCCCCAGGACTTCCAGTTTTAAGGCCAGGATGAACTAGTCACCCTACTAATCTCTCCCCAAACGGTCCTCGTTGGTGCATTTCTCCTCACGAAGTCCCATGTCTCTTCTCCTGTTACTTCAGCCATAGCACACGGCTAGTGGCATCAGTGGCCTTGAACCTTCTGGCTTCCTCCTAGCCTGGCCACAAAAGCTTTGCTGAACAATTGTACCCATTTCTCAGAAGCCTGTCACCTGCATGGGCTGGGCTCATCAAGTGCCCTCCTGCAGGCCATCGACCCCAATAGCTACCGAACGCCTGTTACGTGCACAGGATGCACGAAGTCCCTGTGTAGCGGAGACACACGTAAGCGACCATTGTTCCCCAGGGAACGCAACGCCAGAGGTATGGTGGGGGGGGGGGGGAGGCAGGCTTCCTGGAGGTGACCTGGGTTATGGGGGTGTCTGTGGCACACCCCGGAGGAAACATCTTGTGCACAGGTGCAGATGTGTGCAAGAGTATGGGATGTTCTCAGGCCCAGCAGTCCAAGGAGGATGAAGTGGGGAGGGGGGCGGGGGGAGGGCTGAGCGGTGCACCGGAGGTGGCGATGAGGCTGGCCTGTCACACTACAGTGCTTTATTCAGCAGACACAGAGGCATCAGTCAGTGGGGGGGTCTGTCTGCGTGTGTAGACTGGCCAGGAAGGATGTGGCCCCTCCCCCACCCACACGGGAGAACTAAGCTTCCACCCTCCCCAAGCCCATCCCAGCTGGTCAGGGCAGTGGTTCCCCTGGTGTGGCAGGGGACTTCAGGGAAGTTCGTGGGGAACAGCCTCACCTTGTGTAGAACGTTCGAGTGCTAGAACAGTCTTTCTCACCCTTGTCTACACATGACAATCGCTGGGACAACCCTTAAAACTCCTCATGCTCAGGGTGCGCCCCAGGCCAATGAAATCAGAATAGATCAGGGTAAAACCCACACATGGGTATTTCTAAAAGCTCCGGAAGGAGTTCCAATGTAAAGCCAAGGTTGGAGGACCTGTTCAGAGGGGTCCTCCAGCAGGAAACTTACCAATTGCACTAGAGCCCCCCCTACCCCGCCCTGTCCACCTCCCTCCTCCTCCCCACTGTGCCATGTGAAATGAAAGGACACAAAAAGGGGAGTAGGAATGAACACACACTTTGAGAAACGTTTTCCATGCTTGTGTGCGATACGCCCACATGCAGAGGGAAAGACGAGGCAGAAGGGGAGTCTGAAAATCAGAACTAACAGGTTTCAGGTCAGGTTCAGTCTTTTCCTGAGAGCCTCAAGGAACAGCCCAGAGCCTGATTCACAGGCAATTCTGCATCTAAAAGGAACCCACCCAAGCCTGCAGTGGATTCCTCCACTTCCAAATCCGCCAGGCCTCAGGCACCTAGCGGGTTTTCCTGCCCACCAGCCACAGATGGGGTTATGTCGCCCCCTAGCGGCAATGCTTGAGTCCAGCTCCCATCCTCCACCTCCAGAAGCTTCCCCCACAAATCTGTCTTTCAATTAGGAAAATAGTTGAGGACAGAGAACCTGCTGGGTGAGGCACAAGTGCCCTACAGCCTATACTCAATCCAGGCATACCGCCCTCCATCTCCTGCCCCTCATCCTGGGCACGGGAGGCACCTCAGTGCTATGGTTATGAGCTTGGGCTATGAAGCTAGACAGCAGGCTCCTCCAGGACTCCCAATGGGGCCTAGAGAAAGTCACTACAACTCGGCCACTTGTACCATGGGGATAACACAGAACCTGATTCAGAGGGTTTGTGAAGGGCAGAGGGACGGCCCAGGAGACTAATCATACCTGACTTCCATGAAGGGCCACAGACAAGCAAGAGGTATTAAGGGTTTTCCTCTGAGGAAAGGACACCCCCAATCCCCCAGTTAGACAGTAACAGACCATGTTTCTCTTTGCTTCAGCTGCTGGGGCTCAAAACTAAGCCCAGAACAGTTTTGAAAGGGTTTCATGACTTGCATTTGGGTTACTTTTTCTTGGTAATGACATTCTGCTCTGATTTGTTCTTGGTCCTTATTTCTTCCTATTTCACTGTTTTAGTTACTTCCTATAAGCCTCTTCAAATCTTTTCTGAAATCAGATAGGATATAAACAAGTAAGACTTTATTTTGGACTTGATAAGTTTTGCTCTTACATATATATGCCCAGCTAGTTAAGCATAGATTTTCAAATGATATCATCTTTAAGACAAAAGCCTTCTGTCTAAAAGACAAGAAAATACACACATCAAAATTACCTTAGAGACTCAAAAAAACACTAATTTAAAAGGTTTGGGGATGCCTGGGTGGCTCAGTCGGTTAAGCGCCTGACTTCGGCTCAGGTCATGATCTCACCATTTGTGAGTTCGAGCCCCGCGTCGGGCTCTGTGCTGACAGCTCGGAGCCTGCTTCAGATTCTGGGTCTCCTCTCTCTCTCTGCCCCCTGCACCCATGCTCTCAAAAATGAATAAACGTTAAAAAAAAAATAAAAAATAAAAAATTAGGTTTGGGATAAGCCCATGAATCTAATTTTAAAAAAGTTTCCCAGCTGCTTCTAAGGCAGCCAGCCTAGCCCCTGGCCATGGAGCAGTGTTTGAGAATCTCTGGCCTGGACACAAAAAAACATATGTTTTAGTTACAAAAGAGACTTTCCTAAATAAAATAACTCTCAACTTTATTTAACTGATGTGTTTCCAAAACAATGGGTGTAACTCCAAATCTGCAATTCACACCCACTTAAATTCATTAGGGCAAAAGACTGGTAAAAACCCAGCAGTGAAGCCTCCTATAAAATCAAGACTCCCCAACTTACTAGGGTCTTTTGAGTTTGGTCTTTCTTAAGGTGGTCATACCTGGAGGAAACTTCCATGGAATGAAGATATTCCCAAGTTCCTTGACAACCCACCTGTCTTCATCTGCAACAGGTGCACCCAAATCCTGCACAAGGTCACAGATGCTGTGCACCGGAGATTCTTGCACCAGCATGACCTAAGACTTCATCCCAGGTCCACTAGATGGTGCTCTTTCCTTGGCCTGGAACCCTTCCCTACACTCTGGAGGGGAGGGGGGAGGGAGGGCGTTGGTGCTGTAGAAACAGTAGAACCCCCATTAGGCCGAGGTATGTTTCTCACAGGACACTGAAAGCCAGCTCAGGCCATCTCCAGACACACTGGCTGCTGTTCCCTAGCCCCAAGTGGTAAAGACCCACGAACTGCCTGCATAACTTTCATTACAAAGCAGGGAGAATGGCTCTGAAGGTACAGCAGGATAGAAAGCCTTCTCCTGGTTCATCAAGACCAGCAATCGCTATAAAGACAAGTGTGGAAATACACTGATATATGCTACAAATAGATAGATCACATCAATCAATGGAGGGCGGGGTGCTAGTTTCTGCCCCCTAAAGTTCAGGTCCACATGGCTTAGTTGCTCCATATATATATAATATACCTTCAGAGGAAGGTATATTATATATATATATATATATATATATATATATATATATATATACACACACACACACACACACATACACACACACACATATACACACACACACATATATATATTTATATATATATACACGTTATATTTATATATATACATATATATACGTATATAAATATATATACGTATATATGTGTATATATACAGAAATATGTATGTATATGTGTGTGTGTGTGTGTGTGTGTATATATATATATATATATATATATACCTTCCTCTGAAATACGATCTCTGGCAGGATCCTCAGATGCCCAGGGGATAGGACGACGGGTCTGCGCAATTTAAAAATCCATTTTTTGGAACCCTTTTTATGGACTGCAGAGATCCCTGCACTGACAGGGGTGCCGGGGGTGATGGAAATTTCACCTCCCCAAAGCCAGACCTAGGTCGGAAGACACCTTGACCCCTCTGTATACCCTTCAGTCCACCGTTCTCACTCTGGCAAGGCCCTCAATCCTTTCATGATGGAGTCATAGATTCCCCCTTCCTTGGAAAGCCACGGCCCCTGTTCAGCCCAGAGGGGAAGCAGCGACAGAAAGCCCACCAAGCGTGAAATCGGCACCCAGGAAACTCCCGTTAAAAGATCTGCGACCATTAAGAAACGTTCACCAGAAGGTATGCCAGAAAAGACCAATAATGCTCCAGCAACAGGTGGGAAGTAACTAAGGGAGGTGGGATGGGACACACAGAAAAGGGAAAGAAGACCGAAGACAGTCCAAGTGACAAAAAATAAACACACGAAGTAGGCGGAGCACGACCATCACAGGTGGAGTTAATATTGACCAGGTTTCCAGTTCTTCTGGGAAATTCTGAGATTGTTTTGTCTTGCCATAAGGCCACTGAGCCTACGGCTGTAGGGCCTGTGACAGATGAAAACACATGCTAACCAAGTCTTTCTAGGATTCGCAGCGCTCGATCGCAACAGAGAGGCTGGCTTTACGATAAATTCCACAACGCACCAGGTACTGGTACAGCCTTAATCTGGGGTTGGTCAGAGAAGGGAAAAGTGCCTGGTCCCTGAGATCAGAGACTCTCAGGACACCCGGGACGTCTCCAGGTTGGTGTCAGCCCACACCGGCTGGGTGGAATGGGGGCTTGGCTGGCAGCTGCTAATGGATTTCAGGGGAGGAAAGAGAGCAAAGAATCAGACACCAAAACTAGAGGAGATTCTGTAATGGACACATCACGGCAATATTCTCCGGGCCAAAGGCCCACCAGAGCCCAGGCAGGATGCCAGGCCAGTCCTAGAACCACAGAAACCAATCATTCTGTTCACCACTGGGAAAAAAATCAGTGATGGGGGTCTTCAGACTCAAGACTGAACATCTCAGGGAATAACACTGGCCTCGCTTTAGACGGAGAAACACCCAACGGCCCTAATGTGGAAAATCTTACTCGCTGTCTGCAGTGGCATCGGTGCCTCTGTTTCCTCTAGGTAGTGGCTTCCAGGGAAGGGTGACAAGTACCAGCAATTAGTCATCTGCATGTCACTGGGGGGAGGGGGCACAAGAGCATGGAAATCCATCTGTTATAATGACGCAGGAAAGCAGGCCTCTCTCCCCTCCTTTTGGCTTCTGCACTGGGTTATCCGCGAGGAGCCAGAGAGGCCAAATGATGCCAAAGTGAACGGTCCTATGTGCAAGGCTCGCTATTGAAAGCCTTCCCTGGGCGAGCATCAGCTACGTGGACAAGAACAGCAAAACCATTCTTTCCCTCCCTCTTCTTTCTTCACCCCTTACCCTTACATCACTTCCACCCCTAGTGAGGGCGAGAGAGGGCGAGACAGAGCGAGAGCGAGAGCGAGAGCGAGAGGAGATACTCTCATTTCTGTAGGACCATGCATCTTGGTAGCATTCGCTTCCCCTCCAAGGTGTTACAGGAAACAGAGCAGGTCTGAAACGCCCGCTACGTTACAGATCACGATGACTCCCAGTGGTCTTCACAGTTAAGAAGGGCATACATTTAAGAAGGCAGCCTCTAGGCCCCCCTCTCTCTTTCACGCACACACACTCACACAGACTCTCGCACGGTGGGAACGACGCTCAGCCGCGGGGCGGGGCTGGCTCATGTCAGGTACTGCACCACGAGGAACATGACCACACAGGTGAGAAGCATGCCACCGATCATGAAGTACTTGTCCTGGAAAGCCCGCTTCTCAGTGAGCCGCATCACGGTGTTGGACAAGCCCAGCATGTTGGCAATGTCAAGGATCTTCTTCTGAGTCCCCTGGAGCAGACGAGAAAAGAAGGAAACACAAAGGTCAGCTCCTTTTGCCAAGGAATGGGACTTCTCCTAGAGACAGTCTCTTGGTCATACCTAAAAGCATAAGCAGCATCAATCCACTCTGTGGTCAAATGACTTTTGATCAAGGTACCAAAGCAAAGCAAGGAGGAAAGAAAAGCCTTTTCCACAAATGTGCAGGAATGATGGACCCTAGTACATATATATATCGTGGACATATATACATACGTGTCTCATATGTACCATACACATGTCTGTAAGAAGATCCTCAGTTCATATCATACACAAAAGTTAATTTGAGATGGATCACAGAATTAAACATAAAGCTTCGAAAGGAAAACACAGCAGAATGAAACAACCCAGGTGTACATACACCAGAGAATGGATAGACCACTTATAGTGTATCTGTACAATGGGATATACTACTTGGCAATAAAAAGGACCTAATTACCAACTTGCAACAGTATGAATGAGCCTGGAAAACATTCCTGAGAGGAAGAAGCCGCTCTTGGTAATACATTTATATGAAGTCCACTAACAGGCAAAGCTACTCTACAGTGAGATAAATCAGAACGGTGGTTGCCTGGAAGGAAGGCAGGCAGGCTGGCTGGGAAAGCATGAGGGATTGTCCGGGGGCAATGAGGATGGTCTACGTCTTGACAGCAGTGTGAGTCACAAAGGTATATGCATCTGTCAAAATTCAAGGACCCGCACGAATTAGATCCGTACGCCTACTGTATGTACGTTACACCTCAAGAGAAAATTTTAAAATGAGAACGTTTTACATATTTTTAAAAAAGGAAACCTCAGAAAACTTTTCCTCTGCTCCCTGACCCCAAAATCCTGGCTATCGGCCCGTTCACTGTGTGGAACACAGTGGGATTCTGCTGCGTCTAACGTGTGGGTCAATGTCCATGTTCGCGAGAGGGTCTGAAGCGGGTGACGTGGAATGACCGTCACCAACACAATGACCCCTTGTATACGTGCCATCAAGACCAAAAGAGTATTTTACTCCTAAATCAACAGCCCACAGCACTCAGCCTGCCCTTCCTCTCTGCTTTCCAATTTTTGTTCTTAAGAACACTTGACTGCTCACGAAGTGGCAAGTATAAACAGATGCTGGGCAGACCCCAACTCGCTTCCACACACGTGGCCCATCAGGATGGACGGCATCTAACCTCATGCCCCACGTTCAGCTTTTAAATGAACAACACATTAACGAGCAAGACAGAAGAGGCAGAAGTGAAAACAGCATGAGGCATCACGGACAGGCACTCGAACCCTGGGTTCAGCCCAGTGACGAACAAGCCTCCCCGGAAGAGATCTCTCGGGTCAAACTTTACCGTTGCCAGCGGAGGCCAGAGACATGTTTTTGCAACGACAGTGATGGTGAAATTTAGGTTCTTGCTAAAGATTCTGGTTAGCTCTGGAGCGCCTGGGTGGCTCAATCAGTTAAGCGTCCGCCTCGTGATCTCGGCTCAGGTCACGATCTCACGGTTTGTGAGATCGAGCCCCACACCGGGCTCTGCGCTGACACCTCGGGGCCTGCTTGGGAGTCTGTCTCTCTCTGCTCCTCCCCTACTTGCACGCACACCCTAAGTAAATTATAAGTAAACTCTAAAAAAAAAAAAAAAAAAAAGATTCCGCTTAGCTCTGAAGGCAGATTATTTCATCCCTGCATGTAATACAAGTACCCAGCTTCTAAAATCACCTGAAAATTAACATAAATTTCAAAAAATGTATTCCTTTCCAGCCACAAATTTCCCCCAGCCACGGCCCAGCAACTTCACTCCTTTTAATGGTTTAGACAGGAGTGGGGTGGGAGGAGGATGGAGAGAATCAAGACCAAAAGGCAGGTAGGTAGCAGCGGGTGTACAGAGGAAACTGAATTAGAAATCTCACGTTCCGACCCCAACCGCCTCACTGGGCTGCCCTGCGCGTCCTTCTGGGGACAGCACAGGGGCAGATGCCACGGAGACTCCGCAGTGATATCAGACTTTGATAGGAAGCGAACATCGCTTTCGCAATAAGCTCTAACCCCCCACCGGGTCGACGTCAGTGCGACACGGGGAGGCTTGTCCTAAAAGGGTTTTACTGTTTTCCCGAGATATGGGCAATTTTCTAAAGAAAGGGCAGATTAATCATCACGTATCAGTTCAGATTACAGCAGGTGGCCGTTCAGAAAGAGGGGCACCCGCGAAGCTGTTGGAGACATACTTCCAGACCACCAGAAGCACCACGGCCGGCAGCAGGGCGTGAGGGTCACTTGCAGGCTGCCTGACCTTCTCCCTGGTGACGACGGCAGGGGCTGTGCGGCAATGTACTGAAGTCCCGCGGGGCTGACGGGCTCAACGCGGTCCAACAAAAACTAAGATAAATCTCACACTTCCGAGTGACTGTTTCTCACAGTTCAGTGGCTGGGAGTGCTGCGTTCACAGGGGACCACACCCTGATAATAGGCACAGCCCACACCCCATTATCCATTAGAGCTGATACAGGAAAAGGGCTGAGGCTGAAACATCATGACTGACATCAGAATCTGTGTAATGTTTCTGTAAACCACTCCCAGGGGGTTTGAGCCTCGGCCAGTGGGGCGGGGCTTCTAGGAATACCTGGGACTACGGAGAGGGCAGCTGCTACGGGCCAGCCCAGATGCTCTAGAAGCCCTTCTGTGCCTGCGGCTAGTCAACCCAGGCAGCCCTCCGGCCCCGCCCACAGGGGCTCAGTTACAAGAGCACAAAAGGTCTCGGCTATCAGGTGGTCAGCAGGAGGGGCTCTCCGGGAAAACCACGTGAGGGCGAGGGGCCACGTGTGGCCACGTGTGCCTTCTCAGAATCGTGCACTCTGTAATTTCGGCAGTTGTGGGATTTCTTGGTCTTAGTGGTGCCTATCGTAGCAGCCACTTTCATGGTAAGTTCAGTAAACGGAAAAAGACCCAGATACCAAGTGATGCCAAATTATGGTTCGTTGCAAGCACAAGTAGCAGCTGCGGGCGAAGGGAAGGTGGTCACTTGTGGACTCCTCGTACTTCAGCTCCAAAAGAAAGGACCCCAGACTCAGGGCTCTGTCTCACCACCAAAGTAACAAAACGCGAGGATACGTAACCAAGACGTCAACGCGGGTACCCAACTGGTGGATGAGGCCAGAACGAAGGGCCTCCTCCCTGTCCCCCAGAAAAGCCCCCACCTTCAAGGTCAGTCTCTGGGCCCTCAGTCCGTCCAGAATACTGTGCCCGCCTCCGATGAGGTCGTCCATGCCATGGTGAATTTTCTGGAGGGAGGAGTTGAAATGCAGCGAGCTATCCATTGGGATGGTCGTGTCAGAGTCCTGTGAAAGAGATGCAGGCACAGGATTAGCTCTGCCGCCTGGTCAGCTCCTGGGGTCCCAGCGGGTCTGACTGCTCCGCCTGTCAGCCAAGGCCAAGCCAGAGAGACAGCCAGATGCACACGGCCTGTGAATTCCTGCCTCTCCACCATGACCACCACTTAAGAAGGAACATCAGTCCTGCAAGGTCTTGCTGGGCTTCTCCTGAAGGCTTTCTCTGACTACTCCCCTATTAACTTAGCTTGTTCCAAATGTTCCTTTCCTGGGCTTTCCCTTCACACAGTATTACAGGTTTGCTTTTGTTCTGCAGCTGTTTTATCTACAGCTGTCGCTGCACTTAGACGGAGTCTGACTAAGGACAAAGGAGACGAAGGCCTAATGGGTAGTCGGGATGGGACAATTCTCCTCAGCGGCCCAGAAAGGGCTGTAAAGAAATGAAGGAAGAAAAAAACTGACACCGATCAAGTACTTTCCACCCTGATGCCCATTACCCTAAGCTCACTTAATCCTTATCCTAACGTTATAACACAGTTACTGTACTATCCCCATTTTAGAGGTGAAGAAACTGAAGCTCAGAGAGGTCTAAGATCACACAGAGCTGTTCAGTCCAGCGGGGCCTGTATCTCACTACTGAGTGCAGAGCCGGCCCTCTTAACCATCCTGTGGGAAGAAACACTGAGACTGGCCTCAGGGCTCTAAGTTTACACCAGAAGCGGACTGGATACAGAAGGCAGTCAGGACTGGCCATAGTTCCCTTCTTTCCCGCCTCCCGACAATCGCACATTCTTCTGCCATGCACGGTCATTCTCCCCTCTTTCAATCACCACGAAGAGGTTCAACCACCTCTTCCTTGCTGCATACGTTCAGAATCACTTTTCATGCACCTGCTCTCAGTGCCCCCTGCTAACACGGGAGCGTTTCGAGAAGCAGGTGGGGACCACAGCTTTTCACTTTTTCACAAGCTTTACTCTCAGCATCTTCAACAATGTTCTGCATACAGCTAATGCTCAGTGGGTCACAAGACTCCAGTGTTTGAACGAATCAAAGAGAGGCTTCTCTTCATTCGACAAGCGTTTATTGAGTGCCTTCTGTATACAAATCGTTCTTACCCTTCCGCCTGAAAGGGTAGACCTAATTGGGCATTATCACTCAGAAAAACATATCATAGTTCCAGCTCACAGAGTGACCGCCAAGAAGTTCATTTGGCAAAGTCAACTTGGATTAAGGGGCACTGTGTGCAGAGCACCGCACCGAGCTGATATGCAAACAAAAGAATTCTGAGCGATCATCCCTGACCTAAAAGAGGTTTGAGTACCCAATGCCATAGCGATCAAAAGCCCACACGCCTTTTGGCGTGTTGTAGAGTTCATTACGCTTTTGAAAGGCAGCTATGAAAACTTGAAACTACCGGAAGGAAGGAAGGAAGGAAGGCAGACAGACAGCTGCGCCTACCACTATGCCTCCAACACGTCCTCATCACACTTCTGAATTGTTAGTCAGTGTTACTTGACTGCTTACTCTAGAGAAGCAGAAACTACACAGGCACATTCTGAAACACTCAGGAAAATTTGCTGCAAGTGTGGACACAGCAGAGAGACATAAGCATCTGTGAAACGTGGGCTGATTTGAATTCTGATGGCAGGCTTAGAGAGCTAAGACCTCTTTAGAAAATGAACCTCTCTGTTAAAACAAAACAACCCGAAACCCACCTCACTTGGTGGAAATACATTATAAGGGACCTGAAAAAGGCCAGTGTGTCCTCTAGCCATCAACAGCCATGTACAGGAATGGATCCTATTAAGACCGAGGGGCAGGGGCGCCTGGGTGGCGCAGTCAGTTAAGCATCCGACTTCAGCCAGGTCACGATCTCGCGGTCCGTGAGTTCGAGCCCCGCGTCAGGCTCTGGGCTGATGGCTCAGAGTCTGGAGCCTGTTTCCGATTCTGTGTCTCCCTCTCTCTCTGCCCCTCCCCCGTTCATGCTCTGTCTCTCTCTGTCGCAAAAATAAATAAACGTTGAAAAAAAAAATTTTTTAGAAAAAAAGACCGAGGGGCAGGGGCAAGGGTCTCCGAAAAAACCAAACATGCACACCAACCAGGCCACTTTCGAACAGGCTCAAGTCAAGCAATCCATCCAAAACAAAAGACCTGTTAACAAATTCCTCCAAATTGCTGCTCAGATTTGGGGCAAAAACATTTTAAGGCATCTGACACGGGAACCACACACATACACAGCACGGTGGCAAGTGCCTGCAGGCAGCTTTGAAATGCTGCCCCTCGTGACAAATGGTTTCCGTTCTCATCATCTGTCTCTACCTGATCAGAAACCGTTTCCACCATGGGAACTTCCACCTCTCAGTCAAACCCAGGTCATTTTCACCCCGCCCACTCCTTCACTTTAACTGCTTCCACTTCGGGTTTTCGTGTTAGAGAAGGAGGTTCCCTGTCTAGGTCTAGTGTCTGTGGCAAGGCACAAAGCCCACTGTTACTTCCAGTCGATCGGCTTCGGACACCCCCTACAAAGATGAAGCTCCAGGACCCGAGTTTCAGTGGCGACGAGCTGCTGAGTGCCTGTAGACACTGCCCCCCCACCCCCTCCCGCCCCCCCAACCAGGAGCCTGGCTTACGTTAGTGGTGAAGGTTCGAGACAGAAGTTCCTCTCGCTGTCTCTCCTGCTGCTCCCTGGCGTATCGCCGATGCTGGAAGTTTCTGAGAGCAGTCTGCAGGTGCTGGACATCATACTTTAACTGGTCAACACGACTGGAATTGATGGAGACAGAGATTACATTCCAGAAACCCAGGGCCGCACATTTTGAGCGGCCAGCCTTCGTATTCAAGAAAGATGCTTCCTTACTTCTCCCTACACCACTGCATGCTGTCCCCACCAAAATGATCTGATTTTGATCACTGATGCTGAAAACAAAGAAGCGGCCTGTGGTTAAAGTACGGTTGTAGCACAAGAGATCCCAACAGCTTTACTTAAGCATCTGCTGGTCTCTGATTCTGGATGCATGACAGGGAACAGGTGACAGGAAGCAGGCTCAACGACCTCTCCCTGACCTGCCATGGATTATATCCCTTTTCAAGAAGGAGCCCAAGGGCACCTTTCGAGTAAAGCAACAACAAAGTTTCATAAGAACTTTTGGGAGCAGGGGCTGGGCTGGAGGTGATGAGGGTTTTCATTTGAATTTCATGGCGGAGTATCAAATGTTAGATCAGTATTTCATTATAAATCGGCTGACTGAAGTGATTAAGGGCAAGATTTCATCTCAATCCAAGAATGCAGCAGGAACCAGAGGGCAGTGCACACCTCCCTGGCTGCTGGAGGCTTCAAGTAAGGCCACGGGTCTGGCCAGAAAAACGGTATTGAGGGCAAAATTTCAAAATGACCCAATGTAAGGAGACACAGGCTTCTGAGCCCCTAACCTCACAGGCTTTTTATTTTGAGGAAATATCACTGAAACGAAACCGTGCCCTTTAGGGGGACTTCATCTTCACAGAGTCTCAGTTTTTCAATGTGTAAATGGATTTTCAGAATATCTGACAGCCTCCCCTGGACAAGAGGCGTCACAACACTCACAGTTTGGCATTCTGTCTTTTGTTCGGGGGCTCCTTGCTGGACAGAATCTCCAGACGTTCTAGATGGCTGAATATCTGGTCAATGCTTGCTTGGATTTCATTTTCTACTACTGCACAAAAGAGAAAAAAGAGTAATTGCTGGAAAAGAGACAGTGAGCTTAAATCAGAATGATACAATAAACATGTCTTTTTCCATATCCAATAAATTCAAAGAAACCCATTCGAAAAGGAGAAAAACGCATATTGTACTGAAGAATGGAAAAAAAGTCAAGTGATACTGATTCTGTAAATATTGTTCTAAACACACACACGCATACATACATGTAGCTGTTAATGTCATAGCCATGCCAATTGTTTAAAAAGCTACAGATAAATCTGTAGAAATAAATTTCCTGCCTTTAGAAAATAAAATGAATATTTGGGTTGTCCAAATAAAATATTTTAAGCAAAATGCAGTATCTTCTGAAACAGAATGAGGTCTCTTTTCCTTTGAGATTATTCTCAGATACGAGTTATAAATATCTAGTAAGAAGGCTGCCAATTGAATTCCCTACAGTAATGAGGTTAAAAGAAAAAAAAGCACAAAGGGGAAGATTAGTGTGTGAAACACAGGGAAGAGCTCCCTTGAGGCTTTCCATAAGGACGGGCAGGCTGATGCTGGAATCCCCAAAATAGACTGAATATCACTAGGAAAGGCCCAGGAAAGAATCCACAGAGGTAAAGATATGATAAATACAGTCATTTTCCTTATCCCTCTTGATAAACAGTCAACATGGCCTCTTTTCCATTTCTAATCATGTGACAGTGAGACTGCTGGGAAGGCAAACAAAGCAGATGGATAGGAACTAAACCGTGTACAAAAAGGGCACCCAGGGGGGCGTCTGGGTGGCTCAGTCGGTTAAGCATCCGACTGTGCCCGACTGCTGATTTCAGCACAGGTTGCGGTCTCACGGTTCGTGGGATCGAGCCCCACACCAGGGTCTCTGACAGCTCAGAGACTGTTTGGGATTCTCTCTCTCTCCCTCTCTCTCTGCCCCTCCCCTGCTTGTGTGCTCTCTCTCTCAAATAAATAAATAAATAAATAAACATTAACAACAACAAAAAAAAAGGTACCCAGATTGCTTCTTGCCCAATAAAGACACAACAGTAAAGAAGCAATGTGACCCTCCTAGGCCAACCTGCAGCAGCTGACATATGCACTCTAGATTAGAACAGGGTGGGGGCACAGAACCCAGAAAAGAGATGCTTTTGATGCTCCGAAAAGGAGGCATGAGCAAACAGAAAAGGGCATGAGGACAGCCAGGTGGGGAGGTGAACGGGTGGCTTCAGCAACGTGTGGGCAACCGGTGGCATCTGTTGTGGCCAGCTCAGAGAAAGGACCTTTTCTGGCCAACAGAAATCTGTAAAACAGAAAGCAGCACTCTTCTCAAATGAAACCACAGTGTGGGAACTACACTAATTAATATTGCTATTCGTTTCTGAATAATCCTCCTAAAAAGCCACCGTTCTCAGCTCAGAAGAAATGACCAATTCCAGTTAAACATCTCTGAATTTGTACGGAGTACATTCCTCCCAGGGCTCGGTAATTAGATTAAGACAGAGGAGAGGAGGTCCATTCCCATAGGGCCCTGTCAGGGTGAGTTGAGGGGTAATGGGGGATAAGGCCTGTGGGATTCCACGGGGCGCAATGAGAGAAGTCAGAGGCTTTGCCAGAGGGTTTTTCTGTCCACCCCTAACAACAGAACTCCTTCGGCATGGAATCATTAAGCCCCTGAGGCAGCAAGGCGGTCAGGAAACCCAGCCCATTAGCATCGTGTCATCAGGAGAAAGGACTCTGCTCTCCATAGTTAATTACTCACAGTGCAGAGACTGCTTGTCCTCGGTCTCCAGGCGTCCCATGTGAGACTGGATCTCGTGGACCTGCCTATCAAAGGAAGAGAGAGGAAATGAGTGAGACAGGAGTCATCGACAGTGCTTCGGTCAGGAAAGACAAGTTTTCTGATGCCAACGTGTAACTGATTTAAATCGACAGCATCACTGAACTGTAAACTTTGTTAAGTGGCACTTTAGGCCACATGTTTTGGCCCGGTTTCTAATATTTTACCATGAATATTAATAAGAACACTAACAGGCGGCGCTTACTAAGTGCCTGCCACATCGGAGACATTCTGCAAAGTCAATAACCCTATGCAGAAAGGACCATTATCATCTTCGTTTTATAAATAAGACAACAGAAGCCCAGAAAGGTTATGTAACTTGTTCAAGGTCACACAGCAAGTGATAAACCTCAATCCGGACCCAGCCAATCCCACTCTCTGTTCTTTGACCCGATGTGCTGAGCGCTGGTCTGTACTAGGGAGAGTCAAAGGGCAAGAAAGATATAATCCTTGTCCTTGAGAAACAATGTAATTAGGAACGACAGGCCAGAGAGACATGACAAGTCCCAAGAAGATTTAGGGGAACATCACTACATGTAAGTGTAAACAAAAAGGAAGCTGAGGGGCTCCGCGCAGTGGCGTGGTGCCAAGGAAACGTAAGAAAATAAGAGTAAAAGCTGGCGGAACCCGGTGGCGTCAAGTGAGTTCTAAAGAGCACTCTGAAGACGGAAACTTGACCTGATGAGGGAAGAGATGAAGAAAAGGATCGGCAAAAAGGCACGTCACGTGGATTACAAGCAGGTGGGCCTGCCCGGAAGCGAGTAGGGGTCGGAGGGGAGAAGGGATGAGGCGATCAGTGCGAGAAAACTATCAGAGGAAGGTCCTGAAGGACGGGGATGTCCCGTCCGGTAAAGGCCTTTCCCTGGCAATCCCAGGCGAGTGCCACCTCATTGGGAAATGCGACACCGTACCCTGGCTCCCCAGCGTGGTCTCAGATGGCGGGCCCTAGCGTGCTCTCCGGAGGCTCCTCGGGGCTTGACCAAGGTCACCCCCAGAGCCCTTCCTAGCAGTCGTCTGCGATCAGTTCTGGAATACTGCCTATGCTACCCCAACAACGGGCTCCTGGTGCTTCCGGTCTCACATCAGAGCCACAGGAAAGCAGTCTGCTGAGCAACTATATCACCTCCAACCCTTGAGGGAAAGGTCAGCAACCAGCCTCCACCATGAGCACCACAATCTGTGAACCCAAATTTACCAATGCAAGCCAGAAGCCCAAACTGGGTTTCAACACTGTCTTGGCTTTTCCAGGGCTTTCCTGCGGACTCTAAACATGACCCACGGCACCAGAAGCAAGGCCAGCGCTCTACTGAGTCTGAGCGCACCTGGGTAAGACCCACGGCCCTGAAAGGAAACTAGAAATCACCACGAGAGATGGAGGGACCAGACTGCTCCTCCGGTAAGACAGGTCCTGATAGTGTAGAATGAGGGCACGTGGAGGTACGGAGGTAGATGGAGGAACACAGCTTGAGTTAACCAACATCTGGGTCAGGGTAACCACAGAGACAGCAAGAGGACTGCACGGCGACGCTGACGGGAAGAGAATTAGGATTTTACCGAAGGCCTGCACGTAGGCCGTGAGGTAAGTTGTCAATGGCAGCTTCATAGAGCAAATGTGAAAATTAGCAGTACTGACAGGAACGGGAACAGAAGAAAAAAAGGGAGGGGGGCAGGGGGCAAAGAGTATCCAAGACAACTCTGAATCAAGTATGAGAGAGATGACCTGGTCCACCTGCTATGAGGACTTATGACAAAGCCATAATAACAACACAAAACCAAACAAAATAACATCATTGCAGTGCAGAGACAGACAAACCCTAACCCTGACCCAGGAGCAAAGAATAGAGTCCAGACACAAAAAGAAACGCAAGATGGTTTAAAGCCCAAATGTAAAAGGCAAGGCTTTAAAATTTTCTGGAGAAAATACAGGAATGCATACTATGACTTCAGATTGAAGAATTTCCTAAACAAGGCAAAAAACAATACTGTCCCCCAAACCACACACACCACAAGACTCGTCAATTTGACTACATTAAAACAAAAAACCTGTCTACACCAAAGACACTCTAAAAAAATAAAATAAAAAGACAGGCAGAGACTGGAAGATACCCGCGGCAGATAAGAAAGGACTAATGTCTAGAGTATATTAAAAAATGCTGCAAATCAACAGGAAAAGTCAAAGCACTTTTGTAAAATGGGCAAAGAGCAAATGACAGAAAAGAAAACCCAAACATATCTATATCTATATCTATTATTCCACTTGACTAGTAATCAGAAGACTGCAAAGTCAAAGTAATGAGATAGTACATTTCTCCCATGGATTGACAAATGCTTTAAACTTTAAGAACGAGGGCTTCATGGCAGGCTAAATAATGGTACCCAAGGGATGCTAGCCAAGATTTCCAGCATTCTACCACAGGACTGCCTTCAGCTCTACGTTTTGTTCAAGATTTTTTAACAAACCAACTTACGTTGATGACATTTGCACATCACTCTGTGCTATAATGAGCCTAGGTTAGGATGTTGTACCACAAAACAAATAGTGATATTTTCATTTAGGCTAAAATAGTAAAATTAAATCTGTCAGGGATGAAAAGCATTCCCACTTAAGACTTTTTTAAAAAGTCCCCAATGTACAATATCAAGTGGCATTCCATCCTGGGAGCTGTCTGTTAAAGGCCCCTATTAAAGACTTCCCCTGACGGAAGATGGATGAAGAGGATGACCGGGAAAGAGTCTAGAAGTCAAGTCATGAAGAGGAATGGTCAAAAGAGCTAGTGATAATAAGCCTCTGAGAAAAGAAAAGAAAAGAAAAGAAAAGAGAAAAAAGAAAAAAGAAAAAAGAAAAAAAAAACTCCATTAAAATGGGGCAGCTGGTGCTTTTCAAATACGTAGAGCTGACATAGGCAGAGGAATGGGCTCATTCTCCACTGCGGCTCCTGAAGGGAGAGCCAGAACCAAGAGCCCCATTCAAGAGGGTAGCTTTCAGCTTAACATGCCCCTCCCCACAAAAACCCCAGAATAATTATGAACTCTCTCTCTTCAAGCAAAGGAAGAAGGGGGGCGCCTGGGTGGCTCAGTCAGTTGAGCGTCGACTCTTGGTAGGCTCAGGTCATGATCTCATGGTTCATGGGTTCGAGCCCTGTGTCAGGCGGGCTCTGCGCTGACAGCTGGGAGCCTGCTTGGGGTTCTCCCTCTCTCTGCGCGCCCCCCCAACTTGTGTTCATTCTCTCTCCAAACTTAAAAAAAAAGAAAAAAAGAAAAAAAGGAAGAAGAAAAAGAGCTCCTGCATGTTTAAACACAGGGTACATGAACTGCTTCGGGTTTTATAAAGGGTCTTCCTGACTAAAGGGAGTTGGAATGGGAGATTTTGCCAGTCCCTTCCAATTTTTAAAGTCTATGAGGACAGGGTGAGAGATGATGGCAACACTCACCCTATAAACACCCTTCAGGTGGCTTATACCGTTTTCTAAGCCAAAATGGACAAACTTTAAAGTTGCAGGGAAACAATACTGACTTCTCCCACGTAAGCTCCGAATGCTCTGAATGAACTAGAAGAGATACGGCCAAGAAAATGATTCCAATCTCTACATTTCATGCCTGGGAGGAAATCAAATGCAAAACAACAAAGCAAGCAGGCATGGCATAGGGGGGACTACTAGGTGGCAAGTCTGTTTTAAACCGAACTGGGAATTCAGACCACACACTTGAAGCCAATAAGGAAACAGGTGATGCACAGGCAGGACTT